AGACCTCTCCTGTCTCGCCCACTTCTCCCCTCAGCAGTGTATGTCAGTCAATCTGCCTGTTTTGCTTCCCACTCTGCCTCTGGTGAATCTTCTCACCCCTTGCAGCTCTGGCCTACAGCTCAGTTTGCGTATGCATAAAGGTAGAAGAAGTAAATGAACTTTTAGGCCAAAAAAGATGTTACAGTACATATTAATAATCTTTATATTGATGCAATTATAAAGTGTTTTTTATAAGTTTTAATGAGAGGGCCTGCAAAAGTCTGATTGTAGACTTGCCCACCTTCAGGTCCACACAAATCTGTGTCCTTCCCTGGAATTAGGGTTTCTGGGATTCCTCATGAACAGGAGAGGGTTTTGGTGAGGTCAGAAATCTGGAGAATAGCATTAGGCTAATTTGATTTAATTCCTTTAATTTGAAAGGAAACCAGGTGGGTGGGAGTAGATCTGAAAGACCTGAGGTGTAGTGCAGAAAAAGCAAGGTGGGAGGGGTACTGGCTCATCCATTCTCCTCACCCCATCCTAGATCTTGAACCACCTGCTAGTGGGGTGACCCCTAGCAAGGCCTGAGGTGAAGACTTCTCATAATTTGTAAACTTAGATATTCTCCTAACTCATCTAAACATGTTTCCTTACCAGAAAGTGGAGACAATAGAAATTACAGGATTTTTAATTTTTTTGAGACCCTCTGTCACCACCTGCATCTGAGTGGCTATGAAGGAAAAAAGCAGCACAGGTGAGGTGGAGTCTGTGAAAGCTGGTAATACCTGAAGATCTCAGCTGGGGCCCACATTTTTTTGAGTACTGATTCCCTGCATTTGAAGTTGTTAGTAAGCAACAATGCAAGGTGCTGCAACTTAGCCTGGAGCTTACCCCTTACAGGCTTGAGGCCTAGGACACACCTGGAGATTACTTGTGCCCTGTGGCTAGTGTCAACCCCTCCCTGTCTGCATTCCATCATGCCTCAGCTCCTGCCTTTTGGCTTTCACCCTTATAAAGGGTATCTCTCAACATCACTCCAGACATGGAGTTCAGCTTCTCTGATTCTCTCACAAGGTCCAGCCCCTAGCTTCCCTCGCATTGAACATTCCTCTGGCTCACTTGTCCCTGTATGTTCCATGTTCTGTAATTTGCCTTGAGCCTGTTGCTGCCCCCACACATCTGCCAAGTGGTTAAACCCTCCCTCCTCCACATTTTCCTTTCTTTATGCCTTCATCTCACATTGCTCTTAGGTTTTCAAACCATAAGTGATGCCACTTATGGTTGGGGAGTGCAAATTCTTCACCCTTGACTTTCCAGACCACTTACAATGGGTTGCCCACCTGGCATCCCCTTATAGCAGTGTTGCCTTCTAAAGGGGACTCTGGGCTTCCCCTTGAAGGGTCTGACTCATGAGGGCTGGAGGGGGAGCAGCTTCATATCTGCAGGTCTGTGGTGCCTTCTGTCCAGCAGCTTGGGAAAGGGTGCTACACTCTGAGCAAATATGTGCCCACGTGTGTCAGGTCTGAATGTGCAGGTATGGGGTTTGCCAAGGGCAGCCAATTCAGCTAGATACACACTCTGGCTGTGCCACTGTGAGCAGTACGAAAAATGGAGCGCCTGCAACCAGTGACCTCCTGGCTTCAAGGGCAGACAGAAGGTACAGTCCCAGTGAGAACAAAGGTCAGATTGCCCTAAAACAGGACTCCCCTCCTCCCTGTCCTCCTTGCCTCTGCAGCCGCACTGGAAATAACAGCAGGGTTGGATGCTGTTTGATGTATGAGGTGAAGGGCCCCAAATGCAGGGTCCAGTTTTGAAAGCCTAGGGACTTGCAGGGTCATCCCCAAGGGCCAAATACAGAGAAAAAGAAATGAAACCCTTTTTGAGCAGTTCTGCTTGAGGCTACAACCTCAGTGCAGTGTAGTGGAAAGGAATGTATGGGCTCCATTTAAGGCATAAGATTCAGTCTCTGGCCCACTAAACACAAACGGACACTAAGACCATCTCACCAGTGGTCAGGGTATGGGGGGGTGGGTAACCTTCCTGAGAAGAGAAGCCTGGTCCACTCACTACATGACTGGGTCACATGCTGGAAAAGTTGTCAGCCACTAGCTATGGCAGGACTCCAGACCCTGACCAGAGCAGCAGAGGGAAAGGAACACAAGCATCTGAGGGCCCCCCTGCGTGCCTCAGGCCAGCCTTTCTCAAACCGAGGCTCTCTGGCCCACTGTACTCTCTCTGAACTTTTAGAATAGCTCCCCAAACTGTTCCAGGAAGGTAGGGGTTGATTTCTGTGGCCTCCAGGAGGAGAGAGCCTGGAGGCTGTGGTGCCTATGACAAGGTTGCAGGCTTATTTACGGAAGCCCTTCTCAGAGCCTCCAATGTTCCAGCATGAACGGGGAATCTTCTACCAGACACTTCTGATCTGCCCTTTGCATGAGTGTTTCATTGAGCAACTTGGAAAACCAGGTCCCGAGTCCCACCGCCACATGGTGGAGCAAGGGCACAGGTGTGTGTCTCATTCCAACAGTCGACATGGTTGCCTATTGCTGGTGGTCCTGAGGGAGGACAGTCCCGTTGTACCTGATTCTCACAGGGTGGTTTAGCCTATTGGGTATAACCCGCTGTGGTGATGGCTCCAGTGGGGCATCCTGCAGCTCTCCATGAGCCAGCCCCTTCCCAGCTCTCTCCCTAAGTTACCAGCATGTCTACGAAAACAAGGGATTGTTCAAGAACATTAATCACACCCCAGGAGGCTGCTAGGTCACATGCAGGCACCACATACAGAGTGCTGAGTAAAGAATGTGTGACCCCAAGCAGTGGGCTAGGGTAAGGGCCCAGGTCCAGAGAGGACTTCTCCAGTCCTGCCTCCTCCACCGGGGTGACAAGCTTATTGGCGCCCTCCTTCCTGATGGGTGTCAGGATCTTTTCTCGTCAAGCACACCGCCACTGTGCCATCTCCTACGTTCTGCCGCGATATGACGGGAGCCCTGGGCTGGGTCTGTTCCTGTGCTTCCTCCCTGCGGGGACTGGAGCCTGGGAAGAGCAGGGCTATGCAGGAGGTATCTGCAGCGGGAAGGGAGAAGCGGTGAAAGGGAGGATGCGGTAGTCCTCTGACAATGGCGACAGTCCTGAGCTACTTGTCCTGAAGAAGACAAATGTGTTTTAATGATTTCCATGGTCCAAAGGACAATGGTGTGGAGCCTGCATGAGGGCTGTGGGGCTGTCATACGAAGTAGGCAGCCAGGGCTGACATCTTGTCCTTTGGCCGTCTGGGGTTGAATTTCCCAGTGGGCCTCCGGCCCCGGGCCCGCCCTCGGCCCTGCCTCCTCCCTGGCCCACCACGGTGCATGGGATGG